GTGGGAATGGTGTTAATTCAGGTGATAGGAATGAAGACTAAATAAAAATAAGAGGAATAATAATGATATACAAAAAGTTTTTTGTGAGCACTGAAGGAAGTGGAAGTAGTGTGTAGCATACTGTATCATACTCATAAATAGGTTTTTTATTAGTGTATAAAAACCTGAAATAGCTGTTTTTATCTGCAGCGGGGGACTGAACCAAAATGGTAAACAAAACAATGAGCTCAAAGATGGTAAAAACTCTATTTCGCTGTGGGTTCATCACTATGATTGACCCCCCCCTCACGCATGCATCCAGCATGTGTGGAAGATGATCCATTGTTAACACAAACATCTTCAACAATGTGCTTTTCATGAGAATTGTTGACTTGTACATATTCTGAATTGAAGTGTAAGCTGCTGAGTTTGGGAGTAACAGCGATGTAGAAAATTTTAAATTGTCTTTGCACAGCTCAACGAGCTGAGAAACTGCTACTCATAACTCGGCTGACAGACATACAGCTAGTGAAGATTTTGTCAGGTTCTGGATGGCGTCTTGTCAAAAACTGAGGAAATGTTGATGATGGAAAGACTTGAAGCAGCAAAACTGGTAAACTGCCCAGCTTTTAGTCAAACTTGAAGTGGAGACATCTCCCCTCCAATATGTCTGCTCCTCTGAATGGAGAAATTCAGACATCAGTATGCCTGTGAGAGACAAACACAATGATGACTGCTTCCCCAGTGTCAAATACTTGAGTGTCTGGACTGTGGTCTCAGCCAGTGATAATGAAGTGTTGTTGTCTTGGCTAACAAGCGCTCTCTAACCGCCCGCCGTACGCCCTGCTCTCTCACTGAAAGCGTAACAGCACATGATCAGAAGGCCTCCATGTTAGCTTGTTATGTGAGTAATGACTCATTGGCAACAGTCGTGCCATGACACTTCTGTGATCATAGCAGGATACTACACTGTCCCTCCCTCTTGGTTTGAGTCACACAAACACACACACTGAGCGAGATTGCTATAGTGTGACTTCTGTATCCACTTTGTCTGCCTCACTAATGTTAGATAGTGTGCCTCAGCAGGAATTTTATTGGCAGTACTGCACATACCGTGACATTATTCACTGGACCAAATGAATCTATGAGCTGTGAAATCATTTGAGGGGTGTAATGATAAGGTATCACATATCTGTTCGAGCTTTTGTAGCAATAAAACACACAAGATAGAGTTAAGACTGTGAATATGCTGACACCTTAGAGTGTGAAAAGCTGCAATAACAAAGTTAGGAGGCAATGCACTTCCTCTTTTTCCTCATTCATCTTAAAGCATATATTTCTTCAGAACCAGTGGACACTTTTATTAAACCCCAAAAGCACCCAAAGGATGTCCACGCTCAGTCTGTTATGAATAACGTACATATTTAATTTCACATTCATATGTGGCCTGACAGCTTTCTATATTTATTTTGCACAATAGTGTTGTATGAGCATGCACAGAGAGAGAGAAAGATTTCACAAAGCAATTATGTATTTTAAATCATTTTCATTCACAGTTTATTACCAGCAAGTTGAAGCAAGTCATTACAAAATAAGCAGCATGTTTTTGGAAGCTTTTGGGGTTGAGTGATATTGCAGATTAGTTGAGGATTGCAAGGTGGCTGAAATGTAACAAAATGACTTCAACAAGGAATTGAAAGCTATTTATAGATACTCTTTCCTTTGCAGATAAAGACTATTTAAACTATGAATTTTGTCTTTTTGGTTTTTAACCAGGACAATAATATTTCCCAAACCTCGACCAAGCAGTTTTGTCTGTCTCCATTCGCAGATATTGTAGAAATAATTCAGTAATGAATATTGCCATTCAGCGATACAAATGTCATTTTCTGGGCTTTTGCAGAATTGACCATTATCAGGTGCTGGAAAGGCAATAATGAGTGATACAAAAAGGAATGTCTGCACACTACAATCTGCATACTCTAGTTAATTACATACACAAGCTTCGAGTCTTTCATCAGGCACACAAACATAATGCAGGAGCACTCCAGTAATTAGCCCCAATGCAAAACTGTGTATCCCTAACACAAGCACACACTTGAGAGTGTAGTCCTACGGCATGCGAGGACTACAAAGATAGAAGACAATGAATGTCATGTATGAGACAAAGACAATAAAAACACATAAAGACTGATATGATGAAAAACCAAGTGCCATCAATACCAAACAAAAGAATACATGAAAGTAAAGCAAAAAGTGTGTGTGTGTGTGTGTGTGTGTGTGTGTGTGTGTGTGTGTGTGTGTGTGTGTAAACCTGTTATTTACTTAAATTGGCCATTATAGAAATATGTGTATTTTTTGTAGGAAAGGAAAATTCAGTTTGTTGCATATTCTTATATACTGTATATAAATATATATTTATATTTATACACAGTAATAATTACCACAGTCACCACATAACAATTAACTGCCACCAACCAAGTAAAATCAACACCAAAGAAAATGTTTACCACAAAAACTCTTTTACAACTCAGGTTTGACAGTGTGACTATTCCTATCTTTATCTTCATTGGACAACATTAGTATTTTTCTGATATTGCCACCTTTCAGTATGATTTCCCCGTGAATGCTCAGGAGTTCGGGCACATATGCCTTTAAGTAAAAGATCTAAAGAGCTTCCCATCTCTGATTTTTAAGCGGTATGACAGAAGTAGCTTTACAGAAACATTTAGCAACATCGGGTCAGCCGTGTTTAGTATGAAAAGAAGGTTAAAAGGGGTCAAAACTGGAAATGGCACCAGTTTGAAGTTGTTAGATCCATAATACGCCTCTCGTTTGGAAGGGTCTCACATCCGTAGCTTCTGTGTGCGACTTATGTGACTGATACCCCGGGATGAATCATAATCCTGTTGCCTAGCATTGAATCGCCCACCCATCATTCCTTTCACATGTCCCTCCCTCTCCTCCTCCTCCTTCACCTCCCCCCTGCTTTATAGGTGGCTCATTGCTGTCACTGCATACTTTCCGTGGGGGATAGTGACTGCCACACACGTTTCTGGTATCTCAGTACCCATCTGTCATCACTGGTCAGCCCGGTTCCACACTGTGTCCGGGGAACATCAGGCGTGGGCTGGCTGCCCGGCGGGGTGGCTTGATGATTTCAGTGTACGCTCACAGTTACAGAACTGCCCAGAGATTGGATTCGTGTCAAGTCAAGCAGCAGGTTGGAGCAGATATCAGCTGTAATCTTTGTGTATCCATGTGGAGCCACTGCTGATGGTTTTCACAGCCTCAGCAGTTACCATGTACTGCATGACAGGACGTGACTCAAGATGTCCAGTCACGTGACTTTACTAAATATGATGGCTGCTGGACAGGATGACTACTGTACAGTATATTGATAGTAAAATTTGAAATTATTACGCTACTTAAATAAAGTACATATGAGAAAGGTAATCCAGCCAACATTATTTCTAATGACTGTACCTTAAAGTACATTGTACTACATTTACATTTGCTTTGGCTATTTATATTTTACTGATGTTCAGAGATTTTTACCCACTACATTTATTTTCAGTGGTTGCCTCACAGCAAGAAGGATCTGGGCTTGAACCTGCTGTTCTCCTTGGGCTCTTCTGTGTGGACTTGCATGCTCTCCCTATGCCTGCAAGCGTTTTCTGCCTCCCACAGTCCAAAGTCATGAAGCTTAGGGTAATTGTTGACTATAAATTGCCCGTAGGTGTGAATATGAGTGTGAACGGTTGTCTGTCTCTATGTGTCAGCCTGCTCCAGCCCCCTGGGGATAAGTGGGTATCGCTAATGGATGGATGGATGGATGGATGGATGGATGGATACTGGTTGCTGAATACATCAACATATGATCAGTTTATAAAATATGAGGCATTATAAAAGATTAAACTACCCAAAAGTATACAAAGTGAATTACAAATCAAAGTGAGCTATGTTCTACCATCAAAATACTGCTTACATGTAAATGCATCAATGATTAGGACAATCCAGATACCCATATAAACTGCTTAATGAGTACTCCCACTTTTGATACTTAAATACATTTTGAAGCCAATTCTTTTTACTTATTGCCAATTATACTCAAGTAAAGGATCTGAATACTTTCTTTACCATTGATATTATTGGTGTGTACAGTTTCTTTAACCCTAATGTTTTTTGGGTCCTGGAGATCTCAACAGCTCAAAAGCATACTTGACTTTGTTTTATCATCTTGATACTTATTATTAATATGAATTAAAAACTATGAAAAATTTCCTTCTTTGTTTTCTGAAAATGCTTTATGATCACTTTGTTTTGTCACCTTATAAGATGAGTTGGCTTAGTTTGTGGCAAAGGAAAACACTTTTTCATGTATTGGGTATAAATAAAGTCAGCAGAAAAGAGGAAAAGTATTATTGCTTTTACACATACAGTGGTGAGGACACAAGCATAAGGGTTAATGAGGATATAGGTTTCCAGCAACAAACACTGAAAAAAAAAAGTCTTTTGGATTTACATAAAAAAATTATGGACATCGGTTGCACATAATAAAGTTATGTTTACTCAAATTGATATATTCATGTTCTGTACATTAAATTATTATTCGTTAAACCAACATGACTTTCTTACATAAATTTAAAATATTTATTTGATGTTAAGTATATTAGATTATCTTCTGCTAAACTGACTGATTTTTTTTATGTTAAATGAACGCTATTCTTTAATGTGTATGATATTTAATTATCATCAGTTGGACCAACATAATTTTTTTGCGTGAAGCTAACCTAACTTCCACAGGTAAATTGGACACTATTAAGTTTGGTATACTTTAAATATTTAAATTACTTTTATAAGATGATTGGTAATTTAAGAAATTAATTTCTACACCCCCAACCCCACTTAATCAAGCCGAATCTTTTACGGAAAATAAAAAAGGACGTGGTAATAGGCCGACATATCTTCAATTACTAACTCCAGACAGTGCATAACAAACATCCGTAATGACTAAAAATACAACTTGCTGTGTACTACCTGGGAAATCATATATATTGACAATTCAGTGAAAAAACAAAGTAAACACTATTTAATTGAAAATTTCCATTTATATTTATTAGAACATTGTTTCAAGCATCAAGAAGGAACGGCAGTTAAAGAAAAATCACCCCAAACCCTAAAAATAGGGGTAGTAGTCTGTTTCAGTTTGATAAAAAAATAGTGGAAAAAGAAGCCTCCCACTCACCCAAATAAATCAAACAATTGTAAGAGGTAGATGAAATAATGCATACAGTATTACCAGAAAAATACCTTTTTTTCTCCCCAACAAAGACAGAACATTATTGGTGAACCAAAACCCGAAGCCAAAGCTACAGTGACCACAGGATGTTCCATAATGTGAACATTGAAACAATTATAGTGGCTTGTTTGCAATTACCAGTGTCCACAGTAAACAAAAATCACCCCAAACTCTAAAAATGGGGGGGGGAATTATGTTATAGTTCCATTTAAAAAAAAAAAAAAAAAAAAGCCTCCTACCCACCCAAAAGAAAAGTCCAACAACTGGAAGAGGTAGATGGTGACATAATGCATGTCTTAAGAAATCAAGCAAACAAGTTGGATAGCCTTTTTTTCCTTCAACAAAGAAGAGTCCCTGGAGTCAGAAATGTGTGCAGGTTCGTGTGGATAACAGAGGGAGATTTGTGCACACCATTTAGCAGAACCTGAAGCCAAAGCTACGGTCACCACACATTAAAACTCATCTATGTACATACAACACACTGACAGAGAATTTTCATTTGAATACACACCTGTCCTTTTGCTCTATGGTACATAGCACACAGCCTGACCATGACCACAGGGTGTTCCATAATGTGAACACTGGTAATCGTAAACAAGCCACTATAATTTTTTCAATGTTCACAGTAAACAAAAATCACCCCAAACTCTAAAAAAAGGGGGGGGAAATTATGTTATAGTTCCATTTAAAAAAAAAAAAAAAAAGCCTCCTACCCGCCCAAAAGAAAAGTCCAACAACTGGAAGAGGTAGGTGACATAATGTATGTCTTAAGAAATCAAGCTCGAGAGCCTGGATAGCCAGTTCACTGATAAAGTCTGTTCTTCAGGACTTGGGCTTTTTTGGACAGTGCATTGCCTTCAAGCTCCATGACCACCTTCTGCAGCACTTCAAAGGTATACTTGAGTTCAGCAGGGTAGTTTAAGTTCAAAGAATATATTAGGCCAAACAACATGGCAGCAGCTAAGGGAACACTGTCCATATCCTGCATCACAATCTGGGACTCGAGGACAATGCCAATGTCCTCTGGTTTTTCACTGTCATCTCTGTGTTTCCAGACGTATATACCCATAGTGGTTTCCTCAATGGATTCCTGGAGGAGGGATTCATCTGCTGCCTGTACAATACACAAAAAGAATCAAAGTGTGATTACACTACATGCCACGTCCATATAGGGAATACTGCATATCTGTATTGAGTAATTTATTAAGATATCAAATCAAACTTTATTTATATGGCACTTTCATACAGAAATTAACACAAAGTGGCTCATAGAGGCTGAAAACCACACACATAACACACACTTTGATTTAAGCAATATTACCCAAGAGGGTAGGGACCGAGGCGCTTGCTCCTGAGCGCATCACTGTCATGCTCAAATGACGTTTAAGTACACCCTCTCGGGTAATATTGCGATTATACAACTATTACCAACAAAATAAAATGTATCAAAATATATTCATTTTGATGGACAATTTGCTCTCAAATTTAAAAGGTTTTTGCGAGTGTGCATTCTTTTTACACTCTACAGGAGGTTGATTTAGTTAGATTTTTTTTTCACGAGTAACAATGTTTCTAAAAAATAAAAATAAGAATCATGGATGGTTATCATGGAGATGGATACAACAACATGAGATGGCGGAATAATATTGTTAGTTTTGAGTCAGGCCTGCTGTTATGCTGATTTGAGCACGTTCTAAATGTCTTGTTGAACAATCAGATTGCTTGGTCGGAACTACTTGTATAGATTAAGATCACTACCATATTATCTTACAAGTTAGCTGACTGTAAAGTAATTACAATGGGTAGATGTTTTAAAGCTTATACAAAATATGAAAGATAACATCAACATACTAAACCTAAGTAATACTTACCACATACTCTCTCAATAGATTCTCTGGGTCCTCGTTCAGGTAAACGCAGAGTGCCTTTATGACACATTCTCTTCCCAGATCCACGTCATCATCCTGAGGCAGAAAAACAGAAGCACAAGTTGTTTTGCTTGAGTTTGTCTGTGTAAGTTTGAGTTTGTCCCCCAGAGAGTATACTTACTTCATCCATGGGTGCAATGATGCCCCCTAGGCGTCTGCCAATCTGTCCTCCTCTGTTTTTAAACATTTTGAGCAGTTTCTCGGAGTGAACATCTAATTGCGATAGAAATCTGGACTGCAGGGGCATTGTTGTGATCCGTTTGAATTCAGCATTTATCTGAAAATGAGAATGATTACAGACAACATGCAATATGGCAGCAATTAATAAAAAAATAAATAAAAAAACGAACACCAATCAAGTAACCATGACCAACAGTAAGTTAAAATTAAATTAGAACATTTGTACAGGAGCAGAATAATTCAAAAAGTTCCTTGTTTTATTGCTTTATTTTCTAGTTATATTATGTCATGATCATACTTTTTAAAAAAATCATCTATACCCTCCAAATATTTTCCGGCTGAAACTTGGTGACCCTTAAGTGTTCTTAACTTATTTACTTTGTGGATGTTCCTAAAGCCAAAACGTGGCTTGTTCCCATAAACTGCTATAAAAAAATAGTATATATTGATATTTTTTCGACTTAAACACGCCAGTCTTTTAGAACTACTTCAGCCTGAAATATACATATAAAATATTAATTATATATTTTTTGTTTTTAACCCTTTAAATGCCAGTATGTTTACCATACTGTGCGAGATGTTATGTTAGGATAAACGTGGGATCAAAAAAAGTTGTTTTAATGGGTTTCAATGGGGCAGGTTTTGGCGCTAGGAACATTTAAGCCTGGATTTTGATAGCATTGCCATTTTAGGCTTAATTAAGGTACTGAGATTTCAATTTCAATTTTTTTTTTTTTTTTAATTTTCTTGCAAATTTTAGCTATATTCATTCAACACAGCCAAAATGGCTTAAAAAATAAACAACAGGGTGGCTGGAAATATCCCCAAGAACACTTAAGGATTAACAATTGATTTAGTTTGGGAGAGGGTCTGCTAAGCAGCCAGCAGGTAAGTTACATGACTTTGTCAAATTAAGGTAAATCAACAGATAGGAATCATACAGATTTAATTTTAGTTTGTAATGTGTGAGAGAGAGAGTGTGAGTGAGTGAGTGAGAGAGAGAGAGAGAGAATAAATCACATACCTCGCCTACTTCAAAAAGTGCTGGCCATCTCGTCTGGAAGTCTCTTATCATTGGTGTGTCGCGAACCACTTCCTGTCTCCTATATGCAAATGTCTTTTCCATTTTCATCCTTACTGCTTCCCTGTTGTTCTTCTTCTTAACATCTGAAAGAAGCTCCATTCTCACACTCTCAAGACTCTTCTCAGATTCTCCAGTAGGATAGGGGGGACAGTAGTTCACTTCAGACCTTCTTGGTTTTTTAATGCCAAAAGCAGGGCTTGATTTGCCCTCTGGTTTGTGCTTGAGTGAGTTTATTGTCACCTCAGGACATCCAAGCTTTCTTAGGTGAGTGCGGTAGATTGCCAGTTTGTTCTTCAAGCTGCATTTCCATCCAGCATATCCAGAGAGGGAGCCTTTCTCAGTCAGGCAAGGATGCTTTGAGATTAGAGCCTCTCCAACTGTGTTAAAGTCTTTGTCAGAAACATAAAGTTTGTACTTAACAATTTCTTGCACTAGGCCCTCAAGAATGTTCGACTTCAGTTTAGGATCAGGAATAAACAATGTACCCTTTTCCCTGTAAGCTGCATTGCCCTGCGCAAGTTTCAACTCGGCATCATAACTAAACTGAGGAACACGAAAGATGCTCGGCCAAGATGACCGAGAGCCGGATGACTCTGACTCCGGTGAAGAGAGTATGTCAGTGTCAACACATCCACTGGACAGGGATGAGGATTCATTAAGGGAGTGATGGGCAGCTGAGGTGGGAAGGATATTAGCACACTGAGGAGTTGAGGAATCTGTCATGGCAATCACTCTAATTGTCCCTCTATCCTGTACTTCATCCATTGAAGTGAGGTTCATGAAGTCATTTCCAAATAGTGCATCCATAAACTGAAGTCTGAAGTCATAGTCAAGTCCACATTGTCTTTGTACCTCACTAACAAGTTCATTAACAGATCCTGGGAGTCCATTTTGAAAAGTCATCCTTTGGCTGCTGTTGTCACCCAAGATGACTTTGAGAAGTGTCGGGGCATTCATCCTTCTACGTCTCAGTCTGTAAAAAGAAGGAAAGTGACAAAAAGGAAAAAAAGATTAATGCTTATTGTTTTATGTCAAGTATTTTACTTGTGTCAATACACTAATTGATGCAACATGATGTTAGGTTTCTCATTTTCAGTTTACCACTTGGCCTTGAAGAAGGCCTTGGAGAATTGATTCTAGTCCCACTTTCATTTTGTAATTTGCCCAACTACTACCTGATAAAATCCATCTGTACTAGCTTAAAGTTCATCCTGAAAACTAGAAAGAGGTGGAAACAAATGAGAAGCCTAGGATGTGACCCACAAAAATCAGTGCATGCAATACAGTATGACCTATAATGGATATACAAAGAGATTTCAGAGAAACTCCCATGGGCAACAAAGCACAAAAAAATACAGTCTGAATGTGAAGAGAAAATAGATGTGATGATACACATGCAGGCAGATTGACAGACTCCAAAGCCAATATCTTGTGACAAAATAACAAAACATACAACTCAGCATGCACATTACCATATCACCAAATATACGTGTGTAAAAAAAGAGCAATTACTTTGGACTGAAAATATCTTATTGCAATTAACTGTTCAGTCCTACTATTAATCACCATTTTGGTGGTTAACCAACCTTTTATGATAATCTGCCTTTTTAAGGTTACCATATGACTTGATCCAACAGTGTAAGAGGCCAGTGGATAGGGGTCAGTGAGTTCACTGAGTGCCACAAGTTTTACTTCTCTGGATGGTGACAAGCTTAGCTCAAAGGCTCTGTAGTGTTCAGTGTACCACCCACACAGCACTTTCACAATGAGGAACAACATCTCATTTATTACACACATCTGACTAATTTCAGCAAACTCTGGTAATCCACCTACTGATCCATGGGCAACTATCATGCCATTGCTGTAGGCTATGCCATTGCTTGATGCATTCTTAGCAAGATGCACTTCAGATGTGCTAGGGCATTTTAGCTTTATAGCCTCAGCTACTTCCTCCTTCAGTACATCAACTGGAACTGTGGAGACAGTAGATACATCTAGGCAAGATTTACCATAAGACGGTGAGTTTAGGTGAAATGCAATCATCATTTGATGTTTTGAAGCCAAAGTCAGTGGTACATTCTTAAAGCAACTTGTGTGTTTAACAATGTTCTTAAAGAAACTATGTTTGGCTTCAAATCTCATTGTCCAAACTGTGACTAGAGGGCCAAAACACCTTATCATCTGCGGGTAGTGTTCTACATAGTGGTGTTTGGGTAGAAGTCTGACACCAGGGAACAGGTCTTGGTACCTCTGTCTGTGCTCAACAATTTTGCTTTCAAGGTATGAGATGGATTCATCTGTATGCACAGGAGCAACAACTAACTGCACAATATCTTTTAAATCCATCAACACAAGCCATGCTGGCTCATTTTCTGGGACAAGGGGACCTATCACAAATGGGAGCAGCCTCAGTAGGCTCCAGTTTTCATGAGCGTTGCCACCGATAGTTTTCCGACCCAAGAAACTTTGTGGTACAATATGTGGCTTGTTTGTTTTGTCGGACCATTTATAGGGGAAAGTCAGTATAGCTCTATTTAGTTCATCTAATGTAAATAACTTCTTTGATATCATTAATGCCAAGCAGTGGGCCAGCTCAACAGGCACAATGCCCTCAAATATATCATGAGCAACATCAGGCGGAAAACCGGAGACAACATGAAAATGAGACAGAGTTTTGGTAAAAATGCACTCTCTCTTAACTCCAAAGCAATGTGTACCCTTCTCACAAGATGATTTTACATGATCTGCATGGCCAGCTCTAGTTCTAAGGCTGAAAGCACCGGTAGCAACACACTGATTCCTGAAATCACAACTCTTTGCTGTGCAAAAGCGACAAACGTAATCACCAGAAAAATTTTCTATGAACCCTGCAATACCATGCGCGCCCAGGTTGTCAGCCACAATACTCAGTACTGTACCTTTAAGAGACTTACCTAATAAAGGCACATACACACCATAGTCCTCGAGAATTTTAATATCTTGAAGAAGGGGTTCCAAGACTGTTTCATAACCATATGTTTTTACATCAACACTTTTGCAAAGCACTGCAAGATAAATAGATGATAAAGATGAGTGGGAGCCTGGTGGCAGGTTACCTAGTATCCAGTAAACACCACAAAGCTTGTGTTTTTTCCTAGAGGTGCCTAGGGGATTGCAGGTCTCAAAATCATCCACATACAGACGCAGTGTTATCCGTAACTCCTCTGCATTTAGGAAGCTGTTTGCGTTAAAATGCAAACCATCTTCAGGGGACCTGAATTCAAGAGATGGGTCAAGTTCAGTGTCCTGCTGTCCTCTATGATTTTCAATTATCTTATCAACAATGGCCTTATTATTTAAAATTTGTTGCAAAGATTTCAACAGTGGGACATACTGAAAGGTGTGTTTCTTTTTATGATCAAGTATGTAAGTAACTGGTTCCACAACACAGAATTTTTCCTTATAAAATTGTTTACGTTGATATGAAGTACTAAGAGGGCCGCCTTTTTCAATTGCTTTTGGAACAGGGTTAGATGAGCATACTGCTGTGGTGATTTCTGTAACTACAGAGTCATCAACTTGTATTTTGTGATGCTTAAGGATATCTGTCACAACACTTCTAGATACTGTGACTGATGCTATGTTTATCAAGTAGTAAAGTTCTTGCAAAAAATCATCAATTGCTGTACCTGGCACGTGGACTAAATATTCCAACTTTAGTAAGGCTGCTGCAAGCTGCTGCTCAATTGCACTTGGAAGTGCATTGTGTTGATCTCGTGAAGAATCAGAAACTTCCTCTAACACACACTCCTCATCCTGGCTATCAGCAAACAAATCATCTAATGGTGGAGATGCTATTGTAGTTGTTTTTACAATACCTGGTAGAAAATCAGATAATGTGTGAGGTGTGTGCCGGCGACTCTTATGAGACTTAAAGGTTCCATAAATACTTGTTTGAAAACTACAGCCAACGAACATGCAACCTACATTTTCATTTTTCTTCAGATGTGTGTTGATATGAACAAAAAACTCCCTTTCATTAGCTAAATTTTTGCATGCACATAAGTGACAGCTGAAAATGGACAACTCTTTTCGTGTCTGATTATCTTGTGTGGAATGCACTCTACTTTGATGGATGATTAAAGCATTCCATGTCTTAAATGTACAGGGACATTTAGAATACGTACATGGATAATTTATGGTGCGTCCAAAATGTGGGTGTTTGAGTTTATAATGGTGAAGTAATTCAGACCTACTTTGCACAGCGACTGAACACCCTTTACACTGCCACATTCACTAGAGAAAGAGAGACAAACAAATGGAAGTTCAACTCACTGACACACATCCTACAGAAATAGAGCAAATCATAATTTAAAACCATAATTATATATTATAAATAACCATAATTTAAAAATGCATAATCTTGCCAGTTTATTAGGGAACACTCTTATGTTAAACCAATGCAGTCTAATCCAGAAATCAATAAATCTTACCATCATAAAAGTTAAAGCAATATAGTTTAGTAATTGTTGAAAAAATTACAAAAAATTACAATCACAGCCATTTTATGTGGTTTAATTGTGGTGCCGTTAAATTATTTTGTGAAATCCTGACAGACTAATTATTAGAAACACTTCTCCAAAATAGTTTCAACAAAAAATAAACATTACACCCTTAAAGACAGTAGGATTTACAGCAATTATCATTACAATATTTTTGAAAATAATATCATCATAATCATGAGAAATCCATTCATTCTTGTTTAAACACATCCAGTAAACCAACAAAAGCAAGTGAATAGTAATACTCACCACTACTACAGAGCCTTTGACACAGCACCCAGAGACATACCTTATATCAAATATTGGTCTTGGATGGAGGATATCTACACAGAAAAAATAAATAAATGTTAAAAAGAGCTATAGTTGATAATGAACTAAAGGCAGTGTTTCCAACAGATTTTCAGGAGGCTAGGGGTGCGATCGGACCGTCCGACGGGGGGGGGGGGTGCGATCGCGGTGTATTAAATGTTTATCACCATTACAGCGCAACCTGTCCATGTGCCCGTGTTTTGTTTGTGTGTGTAAGTGCGTGAGCCTACGCGCGCGAGAGAGTGCAGGGAAGGAGGGGCTGACAGAGAGATATGAGAGACGGTATATTTTTTTTTTCCTGTGACAGACTGTGGCGGACCCATACGAGTTAATTAATGGAAAACACTGAAAGCCTAGCAACAACGACAGCTGAGAATATTACTGTCAAATATTGGTATTGCCCTCCTTATAAATTTTTTTAAAATCGCAGGCCATGTCTGCTCTGATACAAGTCAGTGATCCTAAAATGTGTGTTTCTCATCTACAATACACATTCTACATCTCGGAGGCAACGTCTATCCAAACTCGGAAAGGCGAGTGAGAGTCGGGTAGCATGTTGCTGCGGGAGAAGCAGGTCAATGGAGCTGTGCGCGGTGGACGTGCACGAAAGAACAAGCATGTCTTACCGAAAGAAAAAACAAAGCAAAAAAATAAATAAATCAATCAATAAATACTCAAAAATCGAGTGTGTTTCTTATTAAGTAGTAGGCTCCCCAAAAGTCACGGACTGTATATAAAAAAAAAAACATTAACAACATTACTTTTTTCCCCCAAAGGGGTTAATTTGAACGGACCATAATCACCTCCATAATGGGAACAGCTGAACATGACGTTAAAGTACACTGCTGAACCTCAGCATGGCAGAATTGATACTAAGATACCTACTTTAATATCGCCTAGTCGGTTTTCCTCCATTTCGTTACAGCAGCCATGTTTCACCAAAGCCAATGTCAGAGTTACCCATCCCCCACACTCGTTAACTTGTTTAATACCTCCGACAGGTGCCAATTTGAAAAGAGAATAGACCTAGGCCTATGTTCTATGAATTTCCCCATACAAACTAGTTGCCGTGCACACATTACGTTAACAGACATAAAAACTAATAAAGATAAAGATATGAAGATAAAGATATTCAATGAGGGCAGGCATGACCGCTACCATTAGCAACCAGTGAATGACCGCAAACGTTAGCATGAAGACTGACTTGGATTTACTCGACATTACCGGCAAATAAAAAGCCAAACCTTTTCAAATCTTGATTATAAACACGCTGCTTCTAACACTGGCTCATATTTGACAAGTTTTATTACCTTTATGTGTCCTGAGAAGCCCAAATCCATAGAAAATATCACAGCGAGGGAGAAAATGGCGGAGCCTGCAGGTCTTCAGCAACCGTTTCCTGTCCAGGAGCCCGCCCTTGGAGGCGGCCTTTTCGCTGATAAAACATAACTTTTTCCTTTCTTCTTCAAATGATGGAGACATGTAGGTTTTAAATTCCTCAATATTGAAATGCTTTTTAAAGATTTAATCATGTTTTGGAGAGAAATATAAATTAATTATGTAGCATATACAAAATGCATACTTGTAAATTGAACAACCCTCCTTCTTCCATTTTTTCAGTGAAGTATCATGCTGCCGTTGTGAGTAAATGATCCAAAAAGAGAATTTTAAGGTCCAATTTCACTTAGACTCCTCAGTTTATGGCAGTATGTGTATTCCAGTTTCCCAACAGTAAGTGCTGAACATGTGATTCTATCAAAGGCCCATTTCCAGTGGTTTCAGCATTTTTAAATCACTCCCTAACCCAGATTTGGTCTCCGCTGAATCCCAACCCAGATCTGGTGTCTTGGCTAGCCACTCCACAGAATGCTGAATGGGTGATTTATCAGTTCTTGGAGTGGTGGGAAAGTAAATGATTTATGCTCAGCTCTTTTTTTTTTACCCAAATCTTATTTATGTCACTGCTTCTGTTACCGTCACTGCTGTCGTCTACGTTTCTGACTCTTTCTCTCTTCTTGTCTCTTTTGCTTTCTGTCTTTTCCCCTTTCTTTAGAGGTCATGCCTGTGAGGTGTAACTCAAAGCTTTATGGTTAATCCTAATGCATGCTAAAGCTCTGGGAAGCCCCATGTGATCCCAATGAGCACTTATGACTGATGAGAAGCTGGACGTATGTGACATTTACACATCTCACGGTACTGACATATGTCAATCCCAGCATGTATTCATGCTGGGATTGACTTGAACATGCACTCAAGTACAATCACACAAACACACAGATGCACAGGGTTGTGTCAAGCTGAATTAATGCACAGGCCGAAGCATTAAAAGTTATTGCTTATTCTCTCTTCCATAGAGAATGTGCAGGATGAATAAAACATTTGTGAATAAACACATATATTGATTTAAATATAACTCTATGAATACGCTATAGATTGCTCATGAGATTTTGTCCCCTTCCTTTTCCTTTACCCATTATTCCATAATCACTGACTTTAGCATATTTCTTCGTCTCTATTTTTCCATTTCACCCCTTTGCTATCTGCAAAAAAAATGAATTGGACTATTACCATCATGCATTCAGCACCCAGCCTGAGGATATAAATTGGTCAAATGCAAACAAGTGGGATCCGCTGATCCTAAATGTGAGTCACTAAGTCGAGAATTTGGGGCCTTGAAAAGTCTGACAGCTTAAATCACTGTCACTCTGGGCAATGACGCAGAGAGAAACAGGAAGGAAGTAAGATGGAAAGAGAAAAAGTGGAAGAAATAATGAGTTTTTCTGTAGCAGTCTATCTGTAGGGCCACAAAGGCCACAGTAAATATGAACAGCATTTAAATGTAAGCTTGTCATCTGTGGCTCTATGCCAGCTGACCACAGTTTGGCTTTATGCCTTTTTCATGAGCCCCTGTTGATAAAAATTCATAATCCTGATCTGCATTCTCTGATCAAAAGCCCCCCTGAAATGTGCAAACAGATTGTCACCTCGTCTGAAACAGAGATGTTTCACAATGAAGGGCGCGGGTAAAACCACTGCAGGACACCGACCCTCTTTCGGTATGAAAATGATACTTGAAAGGCGAGATAAAATATTCACCAGAGAGAAATATGGGGAGATAGCACATAGCCTTGAGCAAGCAGGGCTCCTGCTGCGAGATGCAGGGAGAGAGACAGAGAAAGAGGTGGAGAATGAAAGAGAGGAAGCTGGGGAGAAACTGGGAAAAAATGGAAAGTGAGAAGGAATGTAATAAAGAGATTTATTGAAGAGAAGATAAAGAAAGAATAGGTGAAAGAATGACCAGGCAATTAACACCTAAAAACTATAAATCTGACACAGGACCTATTAAAATTTTACTCTGCCTGGAAAGGTCACATCTGTTTGCAAATTTGTTATGAAGTTCAGAAAAGGAGGCTAACACATCCCTTAAGCGTTACACATTTATATTTGGGTTCCACTGCAAAAAAACAAGCAATTTATAGAGCAATTCTCCAAGTAAAAATGACACCAATTTTCCACCTGACATTTCTGCTGTGCACTCCTCAAGAGTGTCAGAGACAGACACATCCAAGAGATCATTAGATCATGGGAGAAAAGCATGACGTATCGATTCAGGACATAAAATTCTAGGTCATCATTGATTAGCAGACACTGGCTTTTTGCTTTCCTCTCTGTCATTGCAGGACCCTGGCTTTATTTTTAGGCAAGGACTGATCGATAGGAGGCCGCTTTGTGCGAGTCTCGGTGGCATTGTGCCTCCCTGTGGAGTCTGTGTAGGTCAGACCAAAGCACTCCGAAAGGTTGAACCAATGATGGGAATCAATGGATGGGAAATGTCAACTAACATGGCTGTTTACCACACTGGGGGACACTTTCTGGATACATATTGTTTCATGTGAACTGATGTCAAACCCCATTTTTATTTTTCATCCCCTTAAGCTTCTGCTAGATATAAAACTATGCCAGCCGGCTAAAGGGAAACAATAACTGACATTTTCAACCTATGTAGTTAGAATTGTCTTGTTGGTTGACTGGTACAACATTTGGTTGCTTTATCCTGATTTGAAGCAAATACAGTATTTAGTATTTGTTATTGTTCTGTTTTCCCCCCAACTATGTGCTAATTCTTTTTAAAGAATTGGTGGGGATGAGATTATGCACATAATATTCCCCATCATGTATGGAAGACCAATAGTACCAAAAATAAATAAATAATTACATTGCATGTATTTATATGCCATTAAAGTCACCAAAAATAATATTTTAATGAATATAGGCATTCATTTATAATTACATATTTATTTACGTTAATATTAATTCCCATATTTATTTACTTGTAATGTTCTTTATTAATTTACTCATTTTTAGATGTATTAATATCTGTATTTATTTCTGTATTGCTTTACCCTTCGATTTCCCTCTCGTCATGTCTGTATTTTTAAATCCTTTTTATGCAAATGAGGGTAATCTGATTCACAATATGTGACTGAATAATCAACCATTTGTCTACTGGTTGATCGTCATTAGAGATCAAACCATGCTCCAACACTGGTGGCCACTGAGGCATTCTCAGGCCCTCAGCAGTTGTACTGAGATGATTTACAGCGGCTCCGACAAGCCAACTCTCTTTTCTAGTTTTCCCTCAGATTTCCTCTGGCTGCTCTGCCTCAACTCTTGCTGATTTATGGAGTTTTCTGACAAACAAAAAGCTTTACCTGTTGCAAACGTAGCCACTAACTACTGCTGACTGTAGCTAAAAGGATGGCTATATATACATTTCTTTGTGTGTTGTTTTTATTACCCTTTTCTTTTCCTTTTCAACTCATGTGAAGTATCTTTGAGTTCCTAGAAAAGCACTCTATAGATAAAAAGTACTACTATTATTATTTTTATTATAATATCTGCACGGCTAACTGAGCTAACTGGCTAACAGCAACTACAGGCTACATAGCTGTACTTGTTGCTAAAATAACTAATAGGATGGCTAGCTGCATGGCTAACTGAGCTACCTGAGCTATCTGGCTAACATTAGTTAGTTACAGTAGCTACATATGGTAAAAATCATTAAGCCAACAAACATTGAACTATTTAAATGTATGCCAGCTCACATTAGCTACTGTAAACGTATGCTAAAATATGTAAGAGAAATCTAGCTTAAGAAAAAGTTAGTTAAAAGACATGAAAATATAAAAAACTTCTCCAGTTTTTGATAATCTGTACACATATTTAGGTGAGCAATTCATTACATATTACAATGTAACAATAAATAAATTGTTTTGTGTATAATGGCTAATAAATACAACTATTTCTGATATAAACATGACCAAACTATATTTTCAATAAAATGTATGTGGCTGGAAAACAACTCTTTTGGCACTTTCCAGTTGAACAGATTCAGTGTATTCAGATCTGTCATCTGCTCTTGTAATTCCCCTAATGATCTACGTGCTGCGATGGGTAACGTATCTGACCAACGCAGTCATAAAATGTTAAAGCGTAACATCACACAATTAAACAAATGTTGTGAACAATGGTGACCTGACAGCCCAATTATAACTTCACACTGTTCCAAGCTTCACTCTCTTGCTCCCTCATTTCCATGTGAGAGTCCACTCATGGAGCGTACATCCACCCACTTATGTGAGCCGCTTGAACTGCTCGATGACTCAGCAGCGTTACACAGTGAAATCAGAATCTGTTTTTGAGAGGCACTTAAAGATCCTTAATCCATTCTGAAATTGGCCCTGATGCGAGTGGCTGTTTTTACATTGTGTTGTGACAAATTGTTAGTATTCAACGTCGGTTGTTTGTTTTATGCACAATACAAACAGACGGTCGAATGATGCACCTATGAGGAAAAGTCTATCAACTGTATTTATTCCAAGGTGACGTTGTTTCCACATATTTTTCTTTCATTTGAAGACTAATCCTTAGGAATGCAGAATGTCAGAGAGGTCCACATAATAACTTGATTATACATAATAAAACTAAAAACACATTTCAGTTGTAAAAAAAACCAAAACATTTCTTTTCAGGGAGTGAAAAAAAATAAACAGTATGTAAATGTGAAAATCACTCTTTTGCCTTAAGTGCTAACAACTGAGAGAAACATTTAACCTCTGACAAGGCTTTGGCTTTTTAAATAGTTACAGTAACCACCAGGAACCTCTGTGACAGTTTCTAACAACTACTCGTTTTACTCTGAGCAGCTCAAGTATTAACCGTTCTGGTACAGAACAGGGCTCGAACACACAAAGGCACGACACAAAGACATTCAGCGTAAGATGAAAAGCCTCATTTACGTCAAACCCAAAGCAGACATGGGTCAAATGGTAATCTGTCAATAAAGGCAAATTTATTCAGGCAGGGGACAGGCAAAGAATCATCAAACCGCGTAATAAAGAGAAGGTCAGGCAGGCAGAAAAACATAGACTGGAGAGCTAGGGTGGATGCAAACTTGACAGTCTGGCAGGGAATGAATGGAGATGGAACGGTAAATATACTAGGCTGATTGGGGAAATAGGAAGCAGGTGAGTAAGTGGGTGGGACAGGTCAGGTGATGGAAATAGCAGGAAAGGAGTACTGGACCTGGAATGACAGGGAGAGTTAGTAT